TTACGTTGCTGTTCATCTAGAGCAGCTATAAATTTTTCTTTCAAAAAATTGTTAACGCTTAAAAATTCCCGAAACAGATTTTTTTTTGCATACACATCTTCTACTCTATGGTACTTTCGAAAACAAACAGTTTTGTAGGATTTCCAATCCTACTTCAATCTTTACAAAAAAGGCAGCAAATAATGGTAGGGAATTGAAAATTACAAAACGTTGATTAGGGAGATTGATGAGAGAACATCATCACTCTCCTCCGCCTACCCCCCCCCCTCCTCGGTCGACATCTTACAATTTCTTGATCAAGTGAAATACCTTCACCCTGGAGGGGCTGCGACCACTATGACCCCCTTCGCAGTGAAGGAGTCATTCTCACCTTATCGCACCTATGAACTCAAGATTGCTTCTGCAAAACAATGAAGCTTTCCTTTTACTCAGTTTCCAGTGGAAAAATTCACGGTGAATCTGTTTATGGATCTGAAGCAAAGCGCAACTTTCCAAGCAATTGCAGGCTTACAGGATTTCCTTTCTTAGACGGAATTTGCATTTTTTTCTTAATTTTTGGCATTTGTATCCTTTTAGTTTTGTCTTCATAGTTCGCAAGCATCAAACCTGGGTATAGCCCCAAGCATTACAGTAAGATCGCCAGGTACCTTCCACGCAGCACAGCTAGCGACATATCCTTCGGCTGCCTTTGCAAAATCAGCAAAGTCTCTGGCGACTGCCAGCGCCGGGCGGGCCGCAAATCCATACTTTTTTGAAAGCGGTTAGTCAAACTTTGAAGCGTGGCTGAACCTTTAGCAGGCGGTTCTTAATTTTTTTTAGCCAATGTCAAACGAGCAATGATGCAACAATTTTTCAAGTGTGCTCGTCGAATATTTTTGAGCATAAGATCTGTTAATAAACGATTATCGTGTTAGTTAATAGATCATTCAAACGATCTATTGCTTAACATAAACGCGTCGTCATCTTTCGTAAAGTTCATAGTTTCTGATTGTGAAGAACAGTACAAAATCCTTTTGTCAAAACTATTAGGTTGTTGCAAAAATAATGTCCGTTTTTTTAGGCCTATATTCCAAGCAACTTTTTTCCATCAAACTTTCGTGTTCGATACAGAATCTGCATATCATTGGAAAGCTCTCTTCATGTGCTTTCTAACGATTATAGAATTAAGCTGCTAGTCTCATCTGTGAGAATTTCAGCAGCATTTTGCGCACCCGCACTTGAAATCGGAAATTCATAGCTTTCGCTTTCTTGACCACAATTCAAAAATAAATACACGAATTCTTCTGAAAACATAGCAAATGTATTAGTTGAAGATTGTTTACCTGCTGCATACCTATGTAGATTTTTGGAGATATGTGGACTAAGAAATTGACGCGTTGAAATAGACACTCGCTGCCGGCATTCTATGGGTCAGAAATTTCTCATAGATAAGGCAGTCGTCAAAGCTTCTCCCATTTCTGTAGGCTTAAGATTAGCACATTCTAACTACAATATTTGAAGAGAAACTCAGCTATTTAGTACGTGAAAAATTCCCAATTTTCATAATTTGGCACTTACAAGCCTACAACAAGTAGGCCCAATAAAGCGAACATTTTGGAATTTTTATCTTTTCTTTTCGCGAAACTCCTTCGTTGGAGTCCTTTCTATTCATATGTGTACTATTGTCCTGCGACCACAAAATAAGCTGATTGCCAGGCATACGAACAAAACTTGAAAGGAGTTATAAGCTTTCAAATACGAGGTTTTCAAAAGAAAAAATTTAAGTTTTTTGACGCATGGTTTTCTTCCCGTTTGCGATATCAGTATGAGCAGATATGCGCTAAAATGCGAACGGTTTGCTGTTTCTGAGGGTCTTAACCGCATTCAAAAATATGAAGACTAAGCGAAATTATAGCCTTTCAAAGTGAAAATTTGCAAAACGGACATTATTTTTGCAACAACCTAATACTATTTTCTAACACAGATACTACCTTAGACGTTTGACAGTCACTCCGAGCTATGCACACTTTGTAAATTTACATAGTCTTGCGCAGGTTTCTGAAGCAAATGCTTTTGCAGTTTACTGCTTTTCATTGAAATTATCATGTGAGCAACTGCGCTGCGTTTATGCTATCGAAATTCGAGCTTATACGAAATCGCAGGAACTCAGCGAACTATTACCCTATTTTCAGGTGTATAAGTCGCACCCTTTTTGCTGTAAACGCAAGTAGACCCAGGCGTGCCGCTGCGCATATGGCTCGCGAAGCGGTCGCTTTCTCGCACATCGCTCTCACTTAACATGCCCCATCGTAACAGGCAGTCTTTTAATATGTGCGCCTTTAGAGTGAAAAGTGTGCGGCTTAACACCTGAAAATAGGATAGATTGGAAACTAAGTTTTGCAATTACTTCGATAACGTTTTTCTTTTTCAACCTGGTGCACTTAAAGGCATCGTCCACCCGAAATGGAAACGATAAGATTTTAATGCCTAACATATTGGGGCCCCTCAACTGCATACTTATCCATCTCGCGCTGGCAAAAGTTACTTCCGAAGTGACAAAATTGCTTCGAAAATTGCCCAAATAACAGATTCGCCACGTTGGCTTTCCCTTTAAGTGGGCGTGACCTTCGTCTCGCCCATCCGTGCGCCCCTATCCAATCAGTTCCGAAGAATTCGCTTTGCAGGTTGTGAAAACGGGAATTTTTCGTGGTTTTTACGGATTTCAGAATTGATATTCGGATTCAGGGGTATGAGAGGGCCCTGAAACGGCAAACACATGGAGATTTAAATTTTGGGTGGACGATGCCTATTCTTGCCGCGATGTCGATTATGATGTAACAAAAGCAGCTGCTCTCTGCTTAAATTCTAACGTCGCAGTGACTATTACGGTAGGCATCCTATACAAGAAGAAAAGCTGTAAAATTTTGCAGATATAGCTCAAACTTGGCATAGGGAGTTATTCGACATGCTGATTACAGTCTGCCCCAATTCTAATCAGGCTAAAATTGGCATGGCGGGAGTCCGCGTCGCTAGGGTTTCGCGGTCACGCCCACGGCCTGTTTCTCTGCTCTCTCTCTCTTCATCCTTTTGTTTTCTCGGATAGCGCGCATATGCAGAGCAAACCGCTAGCGCTGCAAGCGCGCAACTTTACACCGACGGTTCGGCCTGATCCCGATCGGAGAACATCAAGTTCGGAAGCACCCAGAAAGTCGTATGACCGGTCTAGTTCTTAGCCCCGGAACCAGAATGCAAAAAAGGACTTTTATCATCACCACATTAGTCATCTTTCCTCAAGAACATCTATTGTAGTTATCTTTATAGAAGCTTTCCTGTTGCATGCTGAGGGCTTTTTTTGTAGGATCACTATAGATTTACGGTTTAAGGTCTCATCCCAATCAAGGAAAAATGTGTTAATTCAACCATGAATGAAATGAATACGACATTCGTGTTAATCAGTTAAGTAAACCCAATATGCAAAGCTTCGGCGAATTTTGAGGTCCTTGATCTACTCCTTAATCTTGAAGGTCGTCCCCAGTTTCGCGTACAGCGGCTCGTTCAACTTTGTGAGAACGTCAATTCTCGGGTTATTTTCAAATTTCATTTTTTCCATAGACTCAAGTAAGTCAACTTCCGGCTATAATTCACAGACAAATTTGGGAGGCTCATTTTACATGATCAAATGTTAACGGCTTTGTTTTGGTTGGTAACATTCTCGGAACTTATCAGTTTTTGAAAATACTTCCAATTTTTCTAATTCGTTTTGAAATTTACATATCTTGTGCACAGTTGTAGAACTCAATGCTCTTATATCGTTAGAGTCTAAGTGCGCAACACAAAGAAAGTAAAGCTATGCAGAGGTTAATCTTAGTAGTTGTTGTTGCAGCTGAGACCAAGATTGTTACACAGCTTTATTAGGCTTACGTTTCGGCGTCTCCGCCTTCTTCAGAGCCTGTAAGAACAATGGTATTTGTAATCTACCTTTCAAACGCTCTATCTTCACCACATCGGTACAACCCAATAGCCAGAAACAAACGAAGACGCGGAACAGTTAGTGCTTACCTTACAGCCTTGCAGTCCAGGGGTAGGCGACCACCCACGAAGCGCCGCGCTATGATGTTGATATTTTCAAATCACTCCCGCCTTGACCCGACCCCGACTCAGTAGGTCAGAACCCACAAAGGGTCTGAAACGGTACCAGCTTGTTCGTGACGGCAACGCATTCTTCCTTCCTATTATTTGGATTTCGCATTCCAATTCAAAAGGCCTCAAGAGTTTTACGAGCAATTTGAGGTTCGTGCGATAAGATTGTGACAGCCTTATCGAACGTAGCGTTTTTGGCTGAATACGGCTGTCACAATCAAGGAAAAGTTTGTCGCATGAGACTTATGCAAACTTAGACTCAAGGAAAAGTTTGTCGCATGAGACTTATGCAAACTTAGACAACATAGTACAAGCTTCGGCTTTTCAAGAGAATACTCTTTAGTGAGACGAAATGCATTACAAAATGGCAACAGACTTCCAAAAATTTCCAATATTACAATAGCTGGATTTATTGATTGAATCCATGCGAAGAACCATTTTTTCAACAATATGACTACGAATAACGTCGTAGTCTTGTAAGGGACAAAGTTCGATGTCGAGCATACTCGTTCCAAATTTGCTGAAGAACCAGATATTTTGAGAAATAAGAACCATACAAGTATAACGTAGTACAATACAAAGCCTTATACTAAGTATGAATACTAAAGAAACTATGTATCTTCAGCGTTGGAAATCAAAGGAAGACCACTACAAGTGAAAGAGTAAAAGCAAGTAGAAGCATGGTGATGTCTTGTGAAAGCGGGAGTGAACAAGAGAAAGAACGGACTTAATGATCGAGTACAAGCAAACCACGTGTTTTGGCAGTTTACTGGCATGCAACCAAGCTTGAATTGCAGTAATAAACTATCAACTTGGGCTCAAGTTTTTCTGTCAGCAGAATTTCATTTTTTCCAAAATATGATTTGGATCAACTTAAAAAGCGAAACTGGGCTGTTGTGTAAAGGTGCTTGCATTTTTAGCACTGGAGAAAAAAATGAAAGGAGCATTGATAAAGTTATTGAATTTACAGCTTCAAGATTATTGAAACTTTTAACTTTGGACAAAAGGAGATCAGAATCAATTTCTGTGTCTACAACAGACATTACTAAATGATGATGACCTAGAAATTTTTTTTACTGAAATGTATTCGGAGATGTAAAAACTGCTACCATACGTTCAAATCTTTGAAGAACAAGAATGCCAACCTTTTTTATGGTGTATTAGACAGCTCATGTTCTCCCTCCTGCTTGTCGCGCTTCAACACCAAATGGGGAGCATGCCCGTAATAGACGAAGTTCAGCAATGAATGTTAGAATAAACACTTGCATTACAAGTATCATTCCCCATTCACAACTTGTAGCTGTTGAATACGTTTTGTGAAACTGGAAAAATTTTACTTGACTAAAGTAGATAGCAAGGTTTATAAAATACCGGTGACTCTTCCGAACGCATCCCTTCAATTCCAGGATTTTCGCCAGCCCCAGCCCCATCAGGTACGAAAGCGAGTGAAGACGCGGCTACCTGATCTGAAACGCTGTATGCATCAGCAACCTTATCTGAGTTACAAACAATAAATATGAAAGGCTTTTAGTGAACGTAGAAGATATCTTTGGGCAGCGTCCAGGCAAATCTGGACGTATCTCATGTGAAGAATTTTGCGGCTCTAACTGAAAAACTGCCCAAGCAGCAGCGCGGATGATTCACTCGCGGCCGAGATATTTGCCTTCAAACTGGACCCCAAGATCGTACTATCGTACAACTTGAACTTGCTTGCACGCTTTCGCACAAGGATCCAAAAACTGTGGGGTTTTATGCTGAACATAAAATGCCAAGATTCAAGGATGGTCGAGCATGGAAAATTATATAGGGTTGTAGTATGAAACCACGCGAGCATGAGCAAGTCGTCTGTCAATACGATAATGGGGTTTAGTTTGGAGGTGAATATCCTAATTGTGAGTGTACAATCTGAGCTGCCGCTTGGGCAGGTCTTACTTAAGGCCCCAAAATCACTCTTTACGTAGGATCTCCATGTTATGATTTGCCTGGACGCTGCTTTTAAGTTGCTTTTGCAATCCTCTTTTCTATTTCTATTGCTTCTCACTACTATATGACGAGGAAATATCTTTGAAGTGAGTTTTGAATCGTTTGACAGCAATTCTCTCCTGGGCTTGGAAACTCAAAATTCACAGTAAATTCAAGCAAATCTTTGCTTCGAACATAATTTTTGCACTTTGTCGCTGCATTCAAATCACGCAGACACATAACACACTCCTCACGTGATCGCCGAATTTATGACTACAAGGCTCTGCAGAAGTGCGGTATGTCTTATGTGTCTGATAACCATGCTCTTACGTCCATAAAACAGTTAAGTGGATCTGACACTTGATACCAGCAATTTGCGCGCGCAAATTGTTGTTATTCCAGGCGTAGCTATCTGTTCATGCGCAAACTTTTCCGCAACTTTACCAATCTCGGTCGCGAAGGCAAGCTCAGATCTACTCGACCAGACAATTTTGATATTGGTGATATGCAGCCAAACAGTTAAAGGTTATCATGTTTCCAAAAGGACGTTCATGCATCTGCAAAACACCCTGTATTCTAGTTAGTGCCTAAGCGAGGGCATCTTCTAGTGCGAATTCAAAATTCAGCCAAACTCCCATGCAATCAGCTCGTAAAAAAGAGGTCAGAGGGCGAGTATCTATCACATGGTTGAGCCAAATTGGACGTTGTACGCGCCGTATGTGTTACGTAGCAGCCTACGCACACGTGCATAAAGATATGAGGCGTACGCTGCGCCGTGCAGTCTGCTCAACCCAGATACGGTATCGGCGATCATAACACGCAAAGAATGGAAGTGTTGCATTCGACCAAAGTAATTCGTGCCTGGAAGATGCAGCAGATGGTAAGGGGAACGAAAGAGCGCTTGATTGGAAAACGCCGATATGCCCGCAGTCTTTGCGTGCGATGAATCGCCTATACATTATCTGAAAATTTTGTAAACTCGGTAGAACTGTGGGACTTACGAAGAATCAGACAGCATGTTGTGAGAATAATGAGGACGAAACGAAAGTGAATAACGCCCAGCGCAATCATTCTTGGAATTACCACATATCTGGAAAGGTAACGTAGAAATTTTTGTTTCTTGTGTCATAGTCTTGAGTATTCATGTGTTTGTTGCTGTCGCAGCAGTCCTCTCGTATTCGTTCAAAAAAGTGATATTTTTTGAAGAGCGGGGTGTTACAGAAAGGTTACAAATAAAAGGTCTAGCTCAATAATCTAATTTGAAAACTCTTCATGGCCTTATAAATTTTGATGAAGCCATGCTCCAGACAAAATTATCGTACGATAGAATATAGAATTCCTTACAGAATACGGAAAATCACTTGTTAGTGCAGAGCAAATCAGATTTCGTGATTCAATTAAACGGAAAGGTCTTCGCTCTTCTTGCCCGCTTTCCCCCGCCCATTCTCTTTCACCCTACGCCCATGATTCCACCAACTACCCATGCCCCTACAATACTAATTAAATACAGCGTCCAGGCAAGTCTGGAACCTGGAAATTTCACGTGGGTAGTAATTTTGGGGCCCTAATTAAGCCACTGCCCAACTGGCAGCTTAGTTAGTGCTCTAATTGCTGAGATATTTCCCTCGAAAGTTAAACCCAGGATCGTATTTCGCATGGATTCAGTGCGCAAAGCGTGGGTCCGCGCGCGAAGCTGTCATGAATCCATGCATATACGATCTTGGGGTCCAGTTCGGTGGCGTATGTCTCACGAGGGAAGGATACATGGTCGAAGTGGTGTTTCCATATGAAATGTACACTTTCTTAAAGAGCATGCAACGCTGATTCCAAATCTGCTTTCCTTATGTGCAAAGAGCTCTTGGGAGAAGAGTTATCGAAGTTTTTCGATGCAAAAATTCGAAAGCGCGGCTACAATAAAAGCATTCAGAACTTAAGTCCGTGAGCTCAGATGAGGCCATGATTACTACCGGGGGGTTTCATACAATAAATATCCTTAATTCAATACACTTATGTCAGTCATTACCCCCTTTTAAGAGCCGAAAAGATCTCAACACCCGTTTTTACCTTGGCCTAAACATTGAATTTTTTCCTTAAAAAATTTCCAGAACACCTTTGCCAGAAGCGCTTTCCAGATAAGGAAAGCAGATTTAGAATCAGTGTTTTATGCTATACAAGATAGTACACATTTCATTTGGAAACGCCACTTCGACCAAGTATCCTTTCCTTGTAAGCCGTCAGTGAGTCACCTGCGCTGCCGTTGGGCAGTGCCTTAATTGGGGCCCCAAAATTACTTTCTATGTAGAATCTCCATAAGTCCAGATTTGCCTGGACGCTGCCTTTAACACGTTTCGGACCGGTGCTGCACGTGGTGCAGCGCCCCGATTTGAAGGATCTTTCTGTCGTTTACAGGAGGTTTTCCTTAAGCCCAAGGTTATAACGTCAAAGGCCTAAGCTTACACTTTTCAGTTAACTCTGTAGAGTTGTGCCGCCGATATTTATTTAGGAGATATGAGCGCAAATCGAACAACAGTCGCAATGAAGTGCGGCAACGCGAACGACGCGTGCGACGTCGCAACTCCCCTTTGCTTCCATTTTAAAGAGAAAATTGTAATTTCTGACGTGACGTGTACCATTTACAGCATAAATATTAAGTTGAACCGAAAGTTCGTTCGCACCATTTTCAAAAAATCGTAACTTCTTTTCGTCACGACGATTTTGCGCAATTTAAATTTTATTGGAAAGCGTAAAGCATGTAGTTTCCAAAAGTCCTCTGAAGACTTTCCAGCATATTCGGATTGCAGAGATAAAAATGAAAGAACGAAAACATCCGAAATTCGGAATTTTTGAGAAAAAATTTTAAAAATCCAGAAGCTGCGCGATAAAATCCAGAGAAGCAATTATCCTAATTTTTCATATATTTGATTACTAACTGAGTTAAGTTTGTGCTGATCGAGCTCTTTTTAAAAGTTATGATTTTTTGAAAAAAAATTCCGAAAATTCACTTTCCTAAGAATTCCTAAGAAATTGCGGCATTTTTTTTCAAAAAATCATAACTTTTGAAAGAAGAGCTCGATCAGCACAAACTTAACTCAGTTTATAATCAAATATAAGAAAAATTAGGATAATGGCTTTTCTGGATTTTATCGCGCAGTTTCTGGATTTTTAGAATTTTCTCTCAAAAATTCCGAATTTCGGATGTTTTCGTTCTTTCATTTTTATCTCTGCAATCTGAACAAGCTGGAAAGTTTCCAGGAGATTCTTGGAAACTACATGCTTTACGCTTTTTAATAAAATTTGAACTGCGCAAAATCGTCGTGACCGAAAGAAGTTATGATTTTTTGAAAACGGTGCGAACGAACTTTCGGTTCAACCTGATACTTTCCGATACTATTAAAAACCGAGTTCTTGTTCCTATCTTTCAGAAAAGCACAGCAGTCCTTCACGAACGACAAAATTTAAACGCTTCGAATCCATTCGCTTTGGGTATGGAACTTATCTTACAAGATGATTACAGATGTAGCATCAGTTTACGAAATAAGGTCCTCTTCTTGGCTTACGGGTGAAAGTACACTTTTTTCGCCGCGCGCGATTTCGCGGTCCGAAACGTGTTAAGTTATGTGGGCAGCAACGATTCCAGCATTTGAGATGTGCTTATTTTAGATAGCAGCCCCTTGCTTTTTCTCCTCTTCCTTAGATTTGCTAAAGGTGAAAATCATGCAAGAAAATGATTCAGTTTCACTGTTCATTTCCATTAAAATACTAGCTGGCATACCCGGCTCCGCCCGGAAGTTCATTACACGAGATAGAAATTCATACAGTTTCGGTACAACGTTTCCCCAGTTCTGGTTCCAACTCCATATGCAGATTCTTTCCTCTACCATGTTTTTCTATTTAGCATGCACCCCCCCCCCCTTGTGCCAACTCCCAGCCCCGTAACTCAAACTATGCAAAAATTAATGAAATCACTGAAGGCATTCCGTAAGTAATTCTAAAAACTAGTACTATATTCATAATCAGCATGTTCACCCTACCTCCTTTCCTTGCTAACCTAACCGTATTTAATCAGCATGCTCAGTTATGCCCTGTGCCAACTTCAGCCCCTTAGGTCAAACTTTGCAAAAAAATGATAGTAATCGATAAAATCGGCAACGAAAAGTAGAAAGGACACCCGCCCGCACCGAAGTGCATGTGTGCTCGATTTGGTCCTGATCGGTTCAGAGATAGAAATATGTATTTGAACATACGCACAGAAAGAAACACAGACACATACACACACAGACATTGTGCTTTCTATTAGGTTGTTACATAAGTTTTGTTACACTTTCTTCGCCTTCCTCTGGAAAACTCTAGAAAATTCGGCAAGACCTCATATCCGGCATGTATGGGGAAGAGATAAAGGGCTATCTGCTGGCACCACTTATGCCCTCACCGCATGAATTACAGTACCCTAAAATCCGTCATATAAGATCGGCTCGCAGTAAAGACCGCCTCGCCGATAAGACCGCAAAAGTGCTCTCAGTTAAGTCCGCTTTCGTGACAGCCTCGCGCGCCTCGCGCGCCGCCAAGTCCCGCGGATAAGTCCGCCTTATTTTTTTCACATGAAAACAAGAAGGATGCGCAATTGCGCTGCCTTTTTTGCTCTCAGAATGAACCGAAGCAACAGATCTTTATTCAGGTAGCATTCCATGTTCATAACAAACATTCATGGCAACAACTTGACCAAAAGAACGACCATCATTATCGTTATTATCAGCAACAATCAAAGCGTCGAAATCCTCGTTCATGCCTTCTATTATTGATTCGTCATCGAGAGCCTTGGTGAAACTGTTCGCAATGGTTTCTTCGCCTCAGAGATAAGTTCTTTCTTTTCATAAAGCCTTTGCACCACATCGCCGATGCCCTGAAGTCCTGGTGGCCAGATTCCCGCGCTAGCTGCAATGCCTTCTCGCGAATGTCTTTGACAAGCACTGCTCGGCTTCCTTCTCGCGTCTGCACAATCCATGCATAGAGAGCTTCCTCTATTTCCTCCACCTTTGGCTTCCCATGACGGTTGGCGCGTCTCCTCAGTGGCATATCCTCCAGATTTTCTTTATCGGCCTTCCATCTTCTAACCAGACCATCAGAGACTTCGTAGCGAACAGCGGCAGCCGATGTTCCATGTTCCAAGGCATATTGCACCACGTTAAGCTTAAAAAGCGCGGTGTAGGACTTCCTTCTGATAGCCATTGAGATGCGAGACACCTGAAAAGCTTAAGTCAAAGCATGTGAGACTATGCTGGAAATATAGGGCCCGGCGTGATTGTGAACTTCGCTGAGTTACCGGTCATTGCACACTGGAATCACGCGGAGTCCTATAAATTTGCGCTGGTCATCGAAAGGTTTACTCTTTTATACAAGGAAAAGCAGGCGGCATCAAATTTGACTACACTATCTTTTGTCTTGGATGTACAGGCTTAATGAAACAACAATTGAGGAAAATAACAAGGAAGCCTAATGCTTTGCTAAGGTTGAGCATTCTCAGACTGTCACTCTTCCGTTCAAGAAAGCATTTGACAAAAGCCGTATGGCATGGGTCAACAGAGACTACATTCAGAACATGAAAACAATAGAGGAAGCAAAAGTGTAGGAGTCAGGTTCAAGGGTTGTAGCCTGTACGGGTTCGAGAGATGTAGTGAAAACATTGTCGCCTCCAAAACGATAAGATGAATGATAAGTTGAGATGATTGCAATGATGCAATGATGAAACCTATTATGATTCTTTTCATCGGCAGAAATCGCTCAATTTCATACAGGTGTCATATATAGGAAAAGAACTCACCTATCCAGCGTACGCGATGAAGAATCCGCGACGACCACCAAGTAGACTGTACGACTTGTCGAATCCTTGGGCTCTTTCTTTCAGGCGATATCGCGGCCTCGTTTAAATCTACACTGGCAAGCCACGCGAGCGGTCGCGCGCGTCTGTGCTCCTAGGTCGCGCTTGCTCATGCTCAGGACAGACGGACGTATCTGCGAGACGATTTAGGCGGACTTATCTGTGACACCCTTTGCGGCGTTTTTCCATCGATTTTCCTGCCAAAACTGCAGATA